AATTTCTTCTGAAATATTTTATGTCTCTATTCAAGCGGCGCCATCCTAACATATATATACATTTAGACCCATTCAATTAAAGTAGATGTGGCGAATATAAAAATAATTGAAGCCGCTTAAAAGTTGCACTTTAAATGGAAGTGTACCCGCAAACACAATTAACACGCACAGTGTGTCATCTAAATAGAATTATGCAAATTTGCTAAAAATAATACTCTTTTTCAACTTCTTTCAGTCTGGTGCTGAACGCACACACATTTTACAAAAACAAACATTGTAATAACATTATAATCATAATCATAATCTTTAGCATAAAAAAGTGTTTAGATGTGAGTTTTTTTAGTAAACAACATAAAACGTATTTAATATAAAGTATAAAGTGAGGAAAATAAATTTGAGCATAGGGAAATAAATAAAATATTTACATAGACAAATTAAAGGTTTAGATAAAAATAGAAAGTTTAAGCAAACATTTATTATTTAATTTAAATACAACAAGTAAGAAATTATAGTCGGGCGTGGCCGACCATATGATACCCTACACCAGTTATGAAAATTAAATGTGATTTATTTTTCATAATAAAGCATTTATCTTCAATATTCCCTTGTTCCGATACATTTAAGCAATTTATGGATGAAAAACTAATTTTCTGAAAGAGGCTTTATATGGGGGCTAGGGGCAAATATGGACCAAGCCCGATAAAATTTTGTGAATATATTTATATTGACATAATATTTTATTGTGCTGAATTTCATCGCGATATTTGGGTTTATAAGCTAATTTGGGACATTCAAGTAATTTTCTGAAGGGGAATTTGTATGGGAGCTAGGGTCAAATGTGGCCCGATCTTTATGAAATTTGGCAGGGTCATCAAGACTTCTATAAAACTTAGTTATGCCGTATTTTATCGATATATCTGTATATTTAACATAATTATGAGCTCAGAAGCCCTTTTCGGGGGGTTCTGTTGTATGGGGGCTAGGTGAAATAATGGACCGATTTTAACCATTTTCAATAGGCTTCGTCCTTAGGTCAAATAAAACATGCGTGCCAAATTTCATCCAATTATCTTGAAAATTGCGACCTGTACCTTGCGCACAAGGTTTACATGGACAGCCAGCCAGCCAGCCAGACGGACGGACGGACGGACATAGCTTAATCAACTCAGAAAACGATTCTAAGCCGATTGGTATACTTTAAGGTGGGTCTAGGACGAATATTTTGGTATGTTACAAACATCAGCACAAATCCAATATACCCTCCCCACTAAAGTGGTGTAGGGTATAAAAATTTTTTGTACTGTACTTATAATTAAATCCTAAACTGTATATAACAATATTAAAGAGTATAGCAGGAGTTTTAAGACTTCCAGTCTTGTGTTTCTTTTCGATTTTCTTGATAATTTTTTTTTTTCTTGGTTACACAAAAAGACACACTTGGTTGATTGTCTGTCTGTATTCTGTGCCTGAATACGACGTTGCTAGGTACTTGTTACTTTTCTATATCTAAAGTGCTTTTTCCTCAACTCGAAGCCGTATGTTGACTTAAGTTTGATTTTAATTTTCTTTGCTTTTGCCAGAATTTCTTCTTAAGTTTGTGTAACCAAATCTGTTGGTCTTTAATTAACAGTTATTTAAAGTAATTAACAGTATTCTTAACAATGTTTATAAAATAAAAATAAAAATAAAAACACAACAACAATAAGTACTTTACCGGCAGCTTCAAGAGCTATAAAATGCAAATAGTACTGATAGAAAGGCCAAATGATTTTATTAGTCATTAAAATGTATGAGACAATAGTTATTTAAATACTTAATTATGTTGATGGTGATTGAAAATATATCTGTGGTTACAGGCGAAAACAGACTAACTTAAAACTCAGACTTTCGAGAAATAATACAATTTAAAACTAGGATTTAATATGGTTACTATGTATTAATGAAGAAAATTAAGGATTGCACTTCAGTGTAGAGTTCTGTCAAGAAAATATTGTGGCTTATACAAATGAATTCGGACTTAGTCCATTTAGTTGATTTTCAATTGTGACCACAGATATAATATGAAATACGTTTATTTGTCATTATTTGTCTGTGATATACACGAACACAGTCACTTACATTTATTTATATTGTTTTAATTGTGGTTTTAAAATGTACATTTTACTATAAATTTAATTACTCTCACAAAGCAAATTTTAATAATATTAATGCATGTATAATTGACATTAAAAGTTTAAATTATCTGTGATGCTGAGAGGAAATTAATAAGTGTGAAATACTATATCAGACTATTTAGGGCACTTTCATTCCAATGATACTTTAAACTAAAACTATTATTAAAATTTAATTTTAATTTGAGAACAAATCTTTAAAGTATTTTGCTGTGATTAGAGAAGAAAATTAATGTTTTATAAATTTTTGTGGGGTTAGGTAACTATGGGCCTATCATTAAAAATTTTGGTATAGGAATTTTGGTCTATATTAGAGTTATTTATGCAGAATTTTGACCATTAAGTGAAATTCTGAGGGGTACTTTGTATGGGGGCTAGGGTCAAATGAGGTCCGATCATTACGAAAATCGACAGTATCATTTAGAATTATATAAAACAAATTTTCAAAGAGATGCTAGAACATTTAACATAGTTATATACTCCCTATTCGGGAGTATAGTTGTATGGCGGATAGGCTAAATAATTGACCGATTTTAACCATTTTCAATAGGATTTGTCCTTTGCTTAAAAGAGGAGTAAGTATGCATGTTTACATAGATACACAGACGGACAGACAGACAGATAGACAGACAGAAAGACAGACAGTCAACCGGACGGACATAGCTAAATCGACTCAGAAAGTGATTCTGAGTCGATTAGTATATTTTCAACCCTGGCTCTATAGATTTTTTTTCAAATTGAGAAATATTTGAAAACTCTAGACAGTTTAAAAATTACTTAAAAACTCCATGTAAATATGTTTTATCGTTTTATTTCTCTAAATTAATGACTGATATCTAAAGCTCCGATGATCAGAAAATGTATGTACACAACTAAGAAGTACTTTCTATGTTTAATAATTATTTTTTATGAAAAATAAAAACACCCATATATGGCTCTATAGACAAGTAAGTACTTGTAAAAAGTTTGCACCTTCTCTTGCCGTACGTTGCATAATAAGAAAGATAGAAAATATAAAAATACACATATAAATTGGCCAATGTCTGCATATACAGTATGTAGTATGTATGAAAATTTAGTAATAAATTTTGAATTTCTTTTATGTTTTGTAATTTTAACACATTTATGAAAAAACAGCAATAGGGTGGTAGGTTTTGAACTAAGAACTTTAAACTTAGAAATGTTAAGATAAAACCTGGTTAAATTAATTTAGTATTGATTTTATTTACGTCTTATACTTCTTATAAGTAGTTACCAATATTTCTATTTGAAATATTAGACTAGTCCTTAAATCCCATATTCAACGAAACTTATAAAACTTATGGGAAAGCTTGGTGAAACATTTACCCTTTGGCTTAGTAATAATAAAGGAAATCGTACTGAACCTATCTAATATTACTTTCAAAACAGCATAAAAATTTCTTACATGTATTTTCAAATCTATGTATGTTTAAGTATACTTATGTTTAAAATAAAAATATTTGAAAAATCTCAAAAACAACAGCCAGAGAAAAACTATGTTTTTTTAAAAACATGTTACAGAAACTAATTGAACTTTATACATTTTCAATTTATACACACACAAATACATAAGTAGTACATGTACAAGGATTTATAAAAAACAAAACATGAAAGTAATTAGAAAGTCTGTATGAAAAATACGTAAACAAATGAACAGCAGGGAATTAAGAGAATTGATTTATGATTTTAATAAATTAATTAGATGAATGAAAGATATTTATAATAATAGGATTTATAATAAATTCATAAGAAAACAAATTGGTAAGCTTAATCTTAATCAGAACTGAACTAGAGCTGAACTAGAACTAGAACTAAACTTGAACTGAACTAGAACTGAACTAGAACTGAACTAGAACTGAACTAGAACTGAACTAGAACTGAACTAGAACTGAACTAGAACTGAACTAGAACTGAACTAGAACTGAACTAGAACTGAACTAGAACTGAACTAGAACTGAACTAGAACTGAACTAGAACTGAACTAGAACTGAACTAGAACTGAACTAGAACTGAACTAGAACTGAACTAGAACTGAACTAGAACTGAACTAGAACTGAACTAGAACTGAACTAGAACTGAACTAGAACTGAACTAGAACTGAACTAGAACTGAACTAGAACTGAACTAGAACTGAACTAGAACTGAACTAGAACTGAACTAGAACTGAACTAGAACTGAACTAGAACTGAACTAGAACTGAACTAGAACTGAACTAGAACTGAACTAGAACTGAACTAGAACTGAACTAGAACTGAACTAGAACTGAACTAGAACTGAACTAGAACTGAACTAGAACTGAACTAGAACTGAACTAGAACTGAACTAGAACTGAACTAGAACTGAACTAGAACTGAACTAGAACTGAACTAGAACTGAACTAGAACTGAACTAGAACTGAACTAGAACTGAACTAGAACTGAACTAGAACTGAACTAGAACTGAACTAGAACTGAACTAGAACTGAACTAGAACTGAACTAGAACTGAACTAGAACTGAACTAGACTAACTACGTTAAGGATTGAATATATTGTACTATATTTTTAAAAATTAATTAAACGACTTGTAAATTCAAATGTTTACATATAATATTATTTTAAATATATTTTAAGGGTTACAAAAATTTCATTTAACAACAATTTCTAATTTTAATAAAGAATAACAACACAAAGAAACAAACACTCCATATATAAATTAAGATTTTTTTGTAATTTTCTTAAAATAAATATTTATTTAGAACTTTAAACTGGAAAATAGTAAAAACTAATTTATTAACTTATACTTTCTCTTTGTCTCTCTTTACATTTTAGATGTTACAAATTTGGAATATGAAAAAATTATAGCAGAGGCTGGCAAAAATGTTACCATACCCTGTCCGGGTGTCACCGAACATTCCTTAGTGGATACGCTGGTATGGAAAACAGCCACAACAACAATAGCCCAATTTGCCAATCGTATACCCTTGTTACATAGTCCTAGAGTAAGTACTAACCAACAATCGTATGACACTCGATACTGGTAGTAAAAAAAAAATACTAGTAAAGTATGTTAGTTATTTTTCAATCTCCTACATATGTATGTATGTATATACTTAGATGCATAAATATTTTTAATAATAAAGAAAATATAAATTCTTTGCGTATGTCTATGTGTGTGTGTGTGTGGGAGTAGAATTTTAAATTGAAATCCTTAGAACGCATAAAATATTATTGGTTTCGGTTTTTAAGTCTCTAAGAGACAAATTATTTGAATTTATTTCATTTTTATCTTCATTTTTATATTTTGTAGTTTTTTTTATTTTTTGTCTTCTGTTTGGTCTCCTTTGGTTTAAGTTTATTTTCATATGGTTCATTTAATGTTAAAATGCTCATGGTCTTTCTATATCCTGTGACTATGCCATTGACAAAATCTCCTGGGAGTGGTTTTTCTTTTTTCAAAGCAATTTGTTATATTAAAGAAAATTAAAAACCAAAAATGAAAAGAAAGAAAATATCACAAAAAATAATATTTTTGCAAAGGCAAACAATTTTTAATGTTTTAATCTATGAGACCAGTTATCAAAACCAAGAATGTTTATTAAATCAGAAAAAACATTTTATTTATAGTAGCAATTTTTATAAAGTTTTTCAATTTATTTATTATAAATTTTATGAAAAAAGATAAACGTTGGTTAGCTGAAAACTAAAGCAAATGTTTAATAATATTCATGTGTGATTTATTTAACAGAATATAGCACTTACATTTTAATGAAATTTCAATGAGATAATAAGTATGAATGCATCACCAATTTGCTTGCAAGCTGCTAATTTAATTATTACCAAATAATATAAATTAATATATTTTACTATAGTCAAGTATAATTTGTAAATATATTTTCATAACTGCCTTAAAGTATGCTACATATGTACAGTAAATTCTCGGAATACTCTCGATTGTAATTTTTGATGTAAATTTTATTAATTTGTTTAAATAAATCAGATTCTATGTGGAACATGATCTACAACGTAAATAAAAAGAAATATTTTTTTTAACAATTATAATAATAATATCCCATTAATATTGTCTTTTATAGTCCTACTATTTTTCGCTCAAACTTACAAACTTACATATGTATATGTACGTTTGTATTTGTTAAGTTTTAAACAACAATCAATTCCATATATTCTACTTAATTTGAATTTGTATTTAGGCATTATTAATACATAATTTAAATTTATAATATAAATACACACATACTTACATAGTTATATGAATGTATTTTCAATCTTACAAAATTTTCGGCATATTTTAATAACAAAACTTGCCCCAAAGAATACGAATATAAATTTACCAATTTTCTAAATCAAAATCTATTGCAAAAAGAGATAGAATAAAAAAAAAACCAACCAACGCAGGCAAATGAATATTATAATAGAAAAGTTTGTGCAAATATTATGACAGTGTATATAATTTTTATCATAAAACACTAGAGGCTTTAGAATTTATTTATTTTTTTTCCTGTATGTTTCAGTCTCTATTTAGTGTGTATGTTAATAGTAAAATAATTTTACAAAAATATACATACGTATTTGTATATAAGGTTGACTCTCTAGAAAATGAAATTTTTAAATTTTGCCGCAAATTTTTCATTAAAATTTGCCATAAAGGGAAGGGGTATTTTTGGAAAATTGTATATAAAAAAATCTAAAATTTTCTATAAAAAGCTACTTTTCCAAAATTTTCTAAAAAATAAATTTTAACGAAATTTTTGTAATAAGATCATTTTACGAAAAGGCTTTACAAAAAAACAAACTTTTTCCAATATTTTCTATACAAAGACATTTTTTGAAAAACTTTCTATACAAAGAACATTTTTTGAAAAATTTCATTATTAGTAATAGTTAGTTAGTCAGTTAGTTAGTTAGCTAGTTAGTTAGTTAGTTAGTTAGTTAGTTAGTTAGTTTAGTTAGTTAGTTAGTTAGTTAGTTAGTTAGTTAGTTAGTTAGTTAGTTAGTTAGTTAGTTAGTTAGTTAGTTAGTTAGTTAGTTAGTTAGTTAGTTAGTAGTTAGTTAGTTAGTTAGTTAGTTAGTTAGTTAGTTAGTTAGTTAGTTAGTTAGTTAGTTAGTTAGTTAGTTAGTTAGTTAGTTAGTTAGTTAGTTAGTTAGTTAGTTAGTTAGTTAGTTAGTTAGTTAGTTAGTTAGTTAGTTAGTTAGTTAGTTAGTTAGTTAGTTAGTTAGTTAGTTAGTTAGTTAGTTAGTTAGTTAGTTAGTTAGTTAGTTAGTTAGTTAGTTAGTTAGTTAGTTAGTTAGTTAGTTAGTTAGTTAGTTAGTTAGTTAGTTAGTTAGTTAGTTAGTTAGTTAGTTAGTTAGTTAGTTAGTTAGTTAGTTAGTTAGTTAGTTAGTTAGTTAGTTAGTTAGTTAGTTAGTTAGTTAGTTAGTTAGTTAGTTAGTTAGTTAGTTAGTTAGTTAGTTAGTTAGTTAGTTAGTTAGTTAGTTAGTTAGTTAGTTAGTTAGTTAGTTAGTTAGTTAGTTAGTTAGTTAGTTAGTTAGTTAGTTAGTTAGTTAGTTAGTTAGTTAGTTAGTTAGTTAGTTAGTTAGTAGTTAGTTAGTTAGTTAGTTAGTTAGTTAGTTAGTTAGTTAGTTAGTTAGTTAGTTAGTTAGTTAGTTAGTTAGTTAGTTAGTTAGTTAGTTAGTTAGTTAGTTAGTTAGTTAGTTAGTTAGTTAGTTAGTTAGTTAGTTAGTTAGTTAGTTAGTTAGTTAGTTAGTTAGTTAGTTAGTTAGTTAGTTAGTTAGTTAGTTAGTAGTTAGTTAGTTAGTTAGTTAGTTAGTTAGTTAGTTAGTTAGTTAGTTAGTTAGTTAGTTAGTTAGTTAGTTAGTTAGTTAGTTAGTTAGTTAGTTAGTTAGTTAGTTAGTTAGTTAGTTAGTTAGTTAGTTAGTTAGTTAGTTAATTAGTTAGTTAAAAATTTTATATAAAAAATCGAAAATTTGTTTTCTAAAAAAAAAAAAAAATTGACGAAAATTCGTTATAAAAATAAATAGTTTTCTATACGAGAAAGAATTTTTTGAAAAATGTTTTTGAAAGTTTTTTATAAGAATAAATTTTCAGAAAATTTTCTATAAAAGAAAAAATGTTTGAATTTTTTATAAAAAATAATTTTTCGAAAATTTTCTATTAAAACAAAAAATTTTTTGACAACATCCAATAAAAGCAAAGAATTAAAAATACAAATTGTAAAAAAAAAATTTTCAAAAAATGTCTATAATAGAAAAATTTTTTCGAAAAAAATTAGTTTGATAAATTTCTAAACAAATATATATTTTTTTTCCAAAATTTTCTTTAAAGAAAGGATTTTTTTTATTTTTTTTTTTTCAAAAATTTTATAGAAAAAAGGATTTTTTTAGTTTTCTATTAAAAGAAAATCGAAAATATTTCTATAAAAAGAATAATTTTTCAAAAATTTTCTAAAATTAAGAAAATTCTTTATAAAAAATAATAAAAATTTAGAAAGTTATTTATAAAAAAAAAAAAATATTTTTTTTTCGAAATTTTCCAAAAAAGAAAGCATTTTTAGAAAATTTCCTATAAAGAAAGAATTTCCGAAAATTTTCTATAAAAAAAAAAAATATTGGAATTTTTCTATAAAAAGAACGAAAAAGAAAGATTCGAAAACTGTTCATACAATGAAATAATTCTTCGAAACCTTTCTTAAAAAAAGTACAATTTTTTCGAAAATTTTCAATAAAAAGAAATAATTTTTATGAAAAGAAAAAAAATTATCGAAACTTTTCTATAAAATTAAAGAATTTGTCGAATATTTTTTTCAATAATTTTCTCTTAAGAAATAATTTTTACGAAATTATTCTCTAAAATTAAAGAATTTTTTACAAAATTTTCTATAAAAAGAGAACTTGTCTATAAAAAAAAACAAATTTTTCTATGAAAAGAAAAGGTTTTATAAAAAGAAAAAAATTCTTTGAAACATCCCTCATCCATTACTCTCTGGCCCATAGTGCAATGTCCGTCTATCCGAAATTGCCGATGGCGTGACAGGTCATAATTATGACTAGCTCTAATGTAGACAACCGACTTTAATTTCCAATATTAATGTAAACCATAGTGTTTTTACTCTTTTGAAAATTCAAAAATTTTTACAAAATATTTAAAGATAAAATCTACTATAACAAATTCTATAAAAGACAAACTTTTCAATAATTTTCTAAAAGTTAAGAATTTTTCAAAGTATAAGTTTAATTGGAACCAGCCTAATACACACCAAATTGTCACCAAAAAATATAAATATGTAGACATACATATTAACAAACATTTTGTTTATGATATGAATGTATCTAAGCAAAAAAATTATAATAAATGATCAAAATAATCTTTTCATAAATTGTTTTTTATTACTCGTTTTTAATATTCTGGGAAATTTAACAAAATATTTTTTTTTTTGTATCATCAGCAGCTTTTGTAAGTTAAATAAGTGTTTGTGATTAATTGCTTATTGTTGTTGTTGTTTTGCTATGAAACAAATGGATTGAAATAAAAATTTTTTATGGCAAATTAACTGAAATAAAATATAGACTTAGCGGAAATTAAATTAGTTATAACAATCGTATAAATTTGTAATTTTAAATATTTATATAGAAAGATAGATTGATTTATTACGATTGAGTGTTTATGAAAATATTATTTTTAACAAAAATTTTTGGAAATTAAAAAAAATCTAACAAAAGCTTTAATAACTATACTACAACAGAAATGTTTTTTAATTAAATTATATAAAGTCTTTTAAAAAAAATTTGTTATTGACTTATATCCATAAATCAACATTTATCCTCTATATTGTAAACTCTTTATACACAACAAATTGCTAAGTTAACATTTAATATTATTTACAAAACTTTGGTAAAAACTAATGAATTACTATGCATATACATACATAAAAATGTACGTAAGTATATACATTATTCAAAATTGCCTTAACATATACAATCCCTT